ATCTCATATACATCAATTCCAAAGACTTTTCCAGGAGCTCACCGACCACCTCCGGATATCAGCAAGAGTTGGTTTCTATACCAAGCCTTCCTCGAAGCTACCAACAACACATCTACCTAGCAGACCTTCATCAGCATTTACAGCACCACCAGAAATCAAAATTCTATTGTTGGGGCCTTTTGTAATGTGTGCTTCATTAGACTCCTTCGTCTGCCATTTACTGGTTTTAACAGACTTTGTATAAGAAATTTTGGAATCTACCTTTCGGGGGCCACTTGTAATAAATGGTCCTCTGTCTGCATTGATGAATCTCCTATTCTTTAATGCAATATCATTCCATCCCGCATTAAATGTTACTTCAGGAATAATAGTTACTGATCTTTTGTCACCTTGAATTGATACGATGCTAATAAATCTTCCAAACTTGTTGTTCTTCCTGGAACTGAAAAAGATCGAGTATTGCTCCTTTAATTTCCATTTCCTTACATGTGTGCCAGCATCTCTTGAAGCCTCCTGAAGAACAAAGCATAGCCACTCCATTGTTTTCTAGCTGAAAGTTGTTCTACGCATCAGATTATGGCTCCTTTACCCATTCGAACCATGTTTCTGCCCTTGGCTTGAGTCGTGTAATATCATAAGATTTAAAACCTGCTGCAAAATAAATCCTATTGTCCCCCATAATGAAATAAAAGAAGTTTTAAGATTAATCATGGATGAATGATTAATAGTTTCTGGAAAATTTTGATCATAGAAAAACACTTGTAACAGAAGCCAATGTGTGAATGTCTCTCTATCTCTATATATAATCTATCAGGCCAATGTCCAATTATTTCTACTAGGGGTTGGTGACTCAATAAGGAAAAAAAACCTAACTTTTTCTTCTATCCAATGCCAAAATTCGTTTGTAGTGGGTCACGGTCCAAAGGCTCAATCAGACAAAATAACTAGTCCAAATACCCATTATCACATTGTCAAGTACTTTTTCCACTCCATGTGTTATCAATATGGAGTTTAGGCTCTCCATGTATTGATAACTGGCGTTGAGGATTTCTTTTTCTTTTCTTCCTTTTAGTACCAGCTTGGTACCGAGTTTATAATAAATAAAAAATAAAATAATAATAATAATAATAGTTTGCATTGAGGAGATAGAATCAGAGTCTTGTTCATAGTCTACTTTGGAGTTTACGAGTCTCTCTATGAGTTGACAAATGACATGAAGAGATGGAAGGTATGAGAGTTTGTTGATTTATCTTTTAAATTTAACTTAGTGATTATAAATAGGCATTTTTTTAATAAATAGGCATTTAAAACCAAAGGAGACATTGAAGAGTAGCATTCCCATTTTTCCCTTGATGACATGACTTATTGGGGCTCATTTGATATAAATTGTTCATTTCTTCAAGAAAGAGAAAATGAAAAGGCATATGGAACTCTCACCACCACTTGTCTAAAAAAATACTTTTGCTACTTTGCATATATTTGGCTCACATGTCAAAAGTTTTATACCCCCTCTATTCCAGTTTATGTGAACCTATTTTCTTTTTGGTCCGTTCCAAAAAGAATGACCCCTTTCTAAATTTGGAAACAATTTAGTTTAAACTTCCAATGTTGCCTTTAATGAGAAGCTTTTATAACTACACAAATACTCTGGACCCATTTTTAACTTGTTTAGGATCACAAATTCCAAAAGTTTTCATTTTCTTTTAAACTTCGTGCTCAATCAAACAGGTTCACATAAAGTGGAACGGAGGGAGTAGATAATTTCAAAAATTCCGTGCCCAATCAACCACATTCGCGTACAAATGGAACAGAGGGAATACTAGTTTTTAAATAACATGCTTAAGAATATGAGTCTTTTGATGTCTTTGGTTAGTGGAAAGTAGTGGCAGATGGAGTAGTAATCTACGGCTGCCATTGAACCAAATATTTGTTATACGGAGCATAGATTAATATGAAAAACTACTAAATTTTTTAACGAATATTAAATTCTGAACCCATGATTTTTAGAAGTACAATGAGTTCAATGCTAAGAACCTTAAAAGTTGAACCCATTAAGTTTAAATCTTGAATTGCCTGTTCGAGAAGTGTCATTGGAATATGACTTGCATTGTTGTTGTTTAATGCATATTATATTCAATCTTGTGTTAATTGATGCTTGCCTTGTATATACCGAGAGTAATGCTTCATTATTGTCTCTGATTAACTATTGTTAAACTCATGGTAATGATGGGTTTTGTGGCTTGTTACCTTGATTATCTAGGCATAAGAGAAATCTCTTAGAGCTGATATGTTTTCTCTGTCACTTGGAGAATAAAAACTTTCTAGGAGCTGTTATATTTGTCTTGATTAGAAAGGATAACATACTTAGTAAACATGCTTGATCCATTCATGTTGATGGAAATTGCACTGTTTGTGATCATATATAGTATCCATACCTTGAAATAGTGTCTTCTATGGTTCACTTTTAGTGTTTTCAATTGGAACTTGAATTATTAGAGCCATTCTATCCCTGACTATATTAGTAATGTGGTCAAAATACTCTTGTTTCTTTTCTAAATGATTTTTCATAAATCTAAATTTTTCCAAATATTGTTCTTACTTTCAATAACGATGTCCAAGTGGAGAATGTTGGAATTGGACTGTACGTTGATTGGTTATTGACAGAAAAGGGTAGTGGTTTGACCCAAGTCATAAACAAAATATATAAAGCCTAATCATCTAATTGAGTTGTGTGTGTAGATAAGTGAGACCCAATTAATTATAGGCTTGAAGCTTCTCTATAAATACAGACCAACTTCCCTTCCTTAGTTGTTGTAAGAAAAACCCTAAGCATATTTTGCTTTCTTTAATACGTAGTTAAGGGGGTGCGATAACTCAGCTCTATTAGTTCTCCCGGTATTGATTGTACATGGTAATTAGAGATTGTGTACTTCATGCTTAATTGTCGATTGCCACAGCTGTTGGATCATGGAGCGAAACTGTATGTTTCTTTAACCTTAACTCGATATTATGCTCGTATTTTGTGTCATTCACTACTATGATCACAAGTAAATTTCGTACAACTTATTATCAGGTGCAAGTAATATTCTACATGAAGATGTTTACTCAATCCATAACTACTGGTGTTTAACTTTACATGAATTCCTCTCGCTACCCAACACCCACCCAAAACAAGAAGAGAAAAAACTTAGAATCGTGTACGATGTTGGTGCTTGAATATATTGTATGAAAAGTACATCCATTAATGAGGTGACCAACTTCTTGTGTGTATTTGGATGTTGACAAGGATAAAGGTTGATCTTGGCCGACTAAAAATGGTATTAGACCCCTATCTTTATGTATTTGTGTGTGCATATATCTCTCTGAGATTACTTGGAGTCGCAGTTCAAGGCATAGATCCCCAAGCAGATGTAGAAATTGTTATTACGTGGATGATACACATACGCTTAAGACTCTAGGCATATTGTCCTCCTACTTTGCCAGATTCTTGATGGAAGCTCTGTGTCAAACAAATATTGCTTCCTAACCTTAAGTGAGGAGTACACACTTAAGGTTTTGCACTCCTTAGTTTTAAGCATTTTAAGTCTGCTGTACTGCAGCAGGGAAAGTGTTGTTGGTAGACCTCTATTTGCTCATAAGGATCTTGCTTGAAATTTGCATTAATTTGGACAATCCTTTGCTGGGTAGATGGAGAGGAGACAGGGTGGTAGTGGTGCTGGATTATACGTATAGGATGGTCATTTCAGAGAGCAAAGTTGGTGAGAGGGCAAGATGATAATCCGCAAAAAGTGAGTCAAGAGAGTTGAGCTAAGCCGTTTGGTGTATCCTACTGGGGACACACGTTTAGAGGAATATTAAGAGCTTGAGTAAGACTATGGCGCTCTTGTACTTAGCCACAAATAAAAGAAATTTGAAAAATAAGAGTTACAAAAACTTTTAAAATTAAACCGTGGGTTTCTTGTTTGCGAATGACTGACACTCTTATTGTTGCAGTCATTGCTGTGTGATCCCAACCCCAATTCACCTGCAAATTCGGAAGCAGCTCGGATGTTCAGTGAGAATAAAAGGGATTACAACCGCAGAGTTAGAGAAGTTGTGGAGCAGAGCTGGACTGCAGACTGATTCTAAGGAAGAAAGATGTCATAGCTGACCGCAAATCAGGAGCACCAGGGCTCATCCATGTTACATTTACAGATTGAAACCTCTTCTTTGAAATTTTATTGGAACACGTTTGTTTTGGCCCTAGTATTCTGGCTTGGTGCTGTTTGCCTTATCGTTTGCTGCATTGCATTGACAAGCTCCTGTAATATATGAATGTTCGTTTTGGTTTAAAAATGCAAGTAACTTTCTGTACGAAGGGAATTGGTTTTCATATCTTATTTTGTTATCCCTTAAATTTGAATAGTTTCAAGCCTTTAGACTTGAATCAAGCTGCACCGGTGATCTTCGTAGAGTGAAGGAGATGACATTTCGTTGGTATTTAATCCAGCTATCAACTTCCACATTACTTATATTAATCAGCATATTGTTTACAAAGGTGTTCAACTTATGAGCTATTGATTATACTTTAAAGCAGCTTTAGTCTAGCAGTAGGGGTATTAAGGCAAGGTAGAGAGCGTTAATTAAACATGTAATGATCACGGTATTCTCAGTCTTCATATGGTAACACATCCATTTCTTTTTTTCTTGGTAGGATAAATTCAGTACAAGATCATAGGAAAGCGAAGTATGTACTTCACAATAGGAACAGAGATGAATCCTATTCACTTGTTGAAGGTGTGATATTTCACCTATCAAATATAGCAGCGAAAGATTTATGCTTGTAACGAGGCAATATCACTACTGTCGCGGGGCTTTGGGCAGGCATGATTCAGAACCAGACACAAATTGCCTTAGTTGTTGATTTCACGCTAACTTTACAAAGATGAAAACCACTCGATTTGGAAGAAAAGATTCAAACAATAGGAGTTAAAGATGCAAATGCCCCGGAGTTTCACATCTTGAATCAAAAGCTAATTCAATACACTGTGATTCAGATGACAATCATAATGCCTACATCACAGGTAATATATATTAACTACTTCCAAGTAGTATTCAACTGCAAAAGCCTAGAAACTGTTGAATAAAAGAACACTGTACGTCTAGCATGAATGCCAATGCGAAACTAGACAGCTGTATAATGACTTTGGTTAAATTAAAAAAGAGGGAAAGGAAAGAAAAAGAAACAAACAAACACACCAAATACAATATTTTGGAATGCAGACTTCAGATCCAGACACTTGAATTTTGGCATCGGACATGATATACTAAAAGAAAAGCTTCCTGCTAAAAATTTCAGGTGCTAATCACTTCTGTTTGTGGAGCATCCTGCACAAGTGTTTTATACCAGTCAGAACAATTAAATGCAATAAAAAGATAGAAGTTAAACAACTAGGATTAATCAATCCATGAAAAAAGCTTCTCTAGCTCGATCAAAATGAAGTTAAATCATATTTTGTCCATACCAGATTTTCTTTATCTTCTTGGAGGACTTTCTCTGAAGTGCAGGCATTATCAGGCCCTGTAAAAGAAAAAATTAACAAACTTCTAGCTCAAACAGCTGAATGATTTTTAACCAAACAATACTCATAGCTACCTTCTCCTTGAGCAGATCTCCTTCCCTGTCTTTTCACCTTATCCTTATTTGGTTCTGGCTTAACAAGTTTTTGAAGTTTCTCTTTTGTGGTACGACTTCCAGCTTTTTGTGTAGATGTAGCAGTTGCAGCAATTTTGTTTACAGAATTCCGGGTCCTAGGCGTGCTTCCAATCTTTGGAGTCTTCTCCTTGATTGGTTCTTTAACTAGTGCAGTTTTAGTTGAATCTTTATTCAAGACTCTGGATAGCTTTCTCTTAGTGTTGGCAACAGAAGAAGAGCAATGTATGTCATCATTAGATGAACATGTCTCTTCTTTAGGCGCATGAGTGCAAGTCTCAGAGACTTGCAATGGCTGAGAATTTTGTAGAATGTTATAGCTATCAAACAATTGTTTCACTGGCTCCTCAAGTTCCACAAGGCTGTGTCGTTGCACATAAGATTTCAGCTCATCTCTCAAACGTTGAAAAGGCTGAAATTGAAGCAGAAAAATAGGCAAATATTTTCAATCACATGGTTCAATTAACCAACTACAAAAGCCAAATTGTTGCTGAAAACCGAACATTTGTGTTTATCCACATTGCAATGCAAGGAAGGTGAACAACGAGCTTACTAACGGAAATCAACTACTTGATTTTAAGATATAGTTTCGGCTAAAGCAAGGAAATGTGGAGGAGATTAATGGAACAGTGAAGTCTGTAGCACTAGTCACTACCAAGTTTTCAAAGATTGTATTACGGTTGAAAGGGGGATCAACAAAGGTGTCACAAGAATGTCCATTAGCTCGTGATTTTTTCAATGAAGTAACTTAGTCATGTGGGAGAAGATATAGTATCATACCTCAGAGCCAGCCTCCAAAGCAAGTCTGAAAAAGCCAAGGGAAATTGAATGCTTAGCAGCAGATTCTGAAAGCTTAATCTGTGATAGCCAATAGGAAGCTGAGGATATAAGGTCATATTTCCTTCTAATTGAGGACTTTGAAGCATTTGAAAATGGTGCATCTGATTTTCCTTGGTTACTAGTTGATCTCTTTGCTCTAGTCTCAGAAATGGGAGTTATAGTACCAAGTGGTCTAGAAGCCGGGCTGGCAATTGGCTTGGAGGAAACAGACAGCCTTCTTGGAGGCTTCGCAGATTTTTCCTTACCAGAGAGATGAAGGGAAGAAACACTCTTACTAACACTTGATGCAGGTCTTCCCCTGAAATACAAATGAAACAGCTAGTAATGTAAGTACACACATCAGGGCAACCGATAGTTAGGCTTAGAAATTAAAATAAGAATTAGGAATACTAGGAAGAGTTGCTGCATCTTTGGCAACCTTTGTCTGATTTAGCTCTCATTTATTAAGAATTTGCTGAAGGCGGAGAACAAAAAAGAAAAGAAAATCACCATTCTTTTGCTAGTAGAAATTGTGTCATTGTATTTTACAAATTTTCTCCAAACTTGCATGCATCATGATTCAGGATAAAGCTGACATTAGAAATCAGTAGAATATTCTGCAAGGAGAAAACCAAAATTTTTTCTCTGGAATCAAAACTAATTTTATTGGAGGAGTTTGATTCTACACTGTAAACTGTATGCAGTTCACACAGAAACTACCACACATTAAAAGCGAATGCGAGTTAAAACAGCACAACCAGCCAAGTGAAAGGTAAGAAGACAGTAGCGCCTACCATATTTCTGCTTTCTTTCAATTTATACATAAAAACTAAAGTTTCAATAACGTACTGCTGTTATCGTAGGTACATAAACATTTCTACGCATCTGCTGATTGTGTAAAGCCACATACTGTTTATGAATAAGCCTTCGTTGCAAGTTTCAGCAGCCTTAAAAAGGGGAAATTCAAAAAACAGGTGATCAAGGTTGGGAACTTTTCACTGTATCATCCTAGGTGGACATCAATGGCGCACCCAGGATTTTGTGCAAGCGGGTTCAATCTTAGAAGTACATAACTTTCGTCGTAAAATAGTAGTTGTCAAGTGGGTTCAAATAAAATATTTATACAAAATTTACACAACTTTAATTGTAATTTATACATATACATATTATTATTTTTTGATGAAGCAGGTTCAGTAGAACCCGCTTGCCACCACATGCGTCTGCCACTGGTGGACATATACAGATAGATATACGTGAAAAATTCTGAAAGTATTGTAATGTTTAAGTTCAGAACCCATATTTGCAAAGAATTCAGAACATTGAACCCATTAAGTTTAAATTATGGATACGCCTCTGACATCATGTTACAGGCAAATCAATCAACAAACGATCACTGGATCAAATAAGATTTCATCTCATTTGACATGGCAGAAGATCATATATGCAATTTCAATGAGCTTTTTTCTATTTCCAGACAGAGACAGTAACAGATAATAAGTGATATCCTAATTGTTAAACCCGGCAGAGTTGGTAAAACACCAAGAAAAGAAATCCACTCAACTATATATCTGCATTCAATTGCCCTTGCACATCGCAATTTCAAATCAAAATTCATCAACGTATAGATGCAAGTGTATCTATAATCTAAAACTAATACTAGATAAATTAGATATCTACATGAATATATATAGATGGAGGGGGAGAGAGAGAAGAACCTTGCAGAATTAGCTGAAGAGTTGGAGGAATCAGTCAGAGGCGGTTTCTCCTCCTTTGATTTAGATGCCGATCGCAACGGATATCGCAGAAGTTTCGATGTTGATCGCCTAGCATTGGCTGCACAAAAGAAAAATCAAACACATATAACACATACAGATGCGTAAAATCAAATTCTAGCGATCAAAGAGAAATTAAGAGAGTGATACCAGAAACAGAGGATTGATCTTTAGCTGACTCTTCCATGATGAATTCTAGGGTTTCTAGAAGATAGAAACAAATGATATGTGAAGATTGGATGAAATGAAAATGAAGAAATTGTTGCTTATATGCAGCGTTGTTTGAGCGGGAAATGTCACAACTGCTTTAAAATCAAATCAAAAGTCGGGAATATTAGAACGGCTCCTTGGGTTGGGCCCGTCTTGTGGGCCCAATACAGGTCTGCAACTTTGGATTTCAAATTTTGAAGAATGCCTTACCGTTAATACAGATGTGTTATTTGACGGGCTGAGTTGGCAGATTCGACTCAATATTAACAAAACTAGGGTGTGTTTGGTACCAAGGAAAACATTATGTTTTCTAATTTTCTCATGTTTGGTTGGCTTAAATATTTTGGAAAATATTTTTTTTATCAACTCACTTTCTTTCAATTGGAGGAAANTTAAATATATTTTTCAGTTTTAATTTTTTTATTTATCTGTTTAAAGGTTCAAAATTTTACAAGTACCAAAGTTATGCTTGTTTTTGTTATGAAAATAATTATATTGTGGATGTTCATTTAATATTCCGCAAGCAGCTGATGCAAATAATTATATTGTGGATGTTCATTTAGTACTCTATTGAAGTTTATCTACAAGCAGATGATGCAGGCAGGTTGCAAGCAACTCAATGAAATGATTTGCAGCAGCTTCTTATTAAACAGGCAGGTTGCAAGCAGCTCATGCAGACAACTTACAAGCAGCTCAAGAAAAGCCTTGCAGCTGCTTCCTGAAAAGCCTCGCAGTTGCTTCCTTTCTTCTATAAATAGAGGAGTTTTCACTTCATTATGTACTTCAGTTTGAAAGTTGAATAATATATCAGTTTCTCTTTATACTTGTCTTTGGTTTATTAACTTTACAGTAATTATTTTATAATACATTATCAGCACGAGACTGTCATTTTGAGCACTTACTTCGAATTTAATTTCTATTTCAGTGTTGTTTGAAACTCAAAACGAGAAAGCAAAGAAAATCAAAGTCAATAATGGGGCTATTCTCCTATACTGTAGCCGGTGGCAGATTCATACTAATCGGTGCTTGGGAATCTTTAATCTCCTCCTCCGCTGCCCTAAAAAATTCATCATCGTCTTCCACTTCCCAATCGTTGACAGAGAAGCAAGCCCAAGATTCTGTCTTTTTCTTTCATTAATCACCTTTTGCTTCACTTGCAGTCATGGCAGGTGATAATGAAGTTAACGCTGCTGAATCTAAGAGATTGGTTCCACTTAATACATGGATTCTTATTTTCAATTTCAAAATGGCTTACAACATGTTACGGTGGTGATATGTGAATATCACTTACATATGGAATGACCAAATTTGTGTAAAGTAATTTGAGCCTTTTGCTTATATTTGGTTTAATAGCTTTATCAACGCTTGCTTGGTTATATGCTATGTATGCAGTATCTATTTTGGTATTTATTTTTATTCGTATTATCTTAATAAAGGGTTATAAAGTGGATAACATCGTTAGACCCACTTAAACTCCAGCAGAGTTTGTAAGAAATATACAACCATCAGAAGTGGTTGTATTTTATATATCTCATTGTAACTAAATTTTGTTAACTACCAGAAGTGGTATATGCCTATGACCACCAGAAGTGATAATTTAGACTTTCTATGGTTATAATTGAAGATAAGCTAGAGAAAATTCTCTATATTATATGCATACCTCGATTTGCTCCTGAAGTAGCAAATATCTTAAAAGAGGTTCGAAGCATCACAATTTGATGTGATTATGCACGTTCAGATAATTATGTTCCATTCCCTGAAGGATGAGAACTTTGATAAATATTGATAATTCCCAGAAGTGAATGTGACAATGTTAATAAAGCTTGTAAATATGAACGTGCTCTTGGTTGTGAAGACATCACAACTCACCTCCAGAAGAGAATACAATTGAGAGAACATATCCTTAATCTTTCGTACTTCAAATTTGCCCCTGAAGTAGTAAACAATTGAAATTTCTTCCTGAAGCAGGAAAATATTATAGAGCGATGTAAATACTGCAACTCACCTTATAAAGAGGTAGAATAACAAAGGATATAAAATATTCAGATATTAATATCGTTTCTCCCTGAAGGAGACATTTATCACAAAGTTGGTGGTAGAAATACTGAAATTCTTAACTTTTTACATTTATAAATTTAGTATTGTCTTTCTATTGTTCATATGTTAATAATTTTCTCTCATGATACCATAAGTGTCTGAGCAATATTTGGCAGTATAAAATTTATCAAAAGCTCCCAAAGAGCTAACTGTTTGTCTAGAAGACACATGACACCAGTAGTGTCCGATAAATATAAGATTGTGGATAATAAATGAAGGCACTCGAAGAGCTTATATAAAAATATGTCATTCATATTATATGATTCTGGTCAAAATATATGTTGTAGTAAACCTGAAGTTTACTAATACAAATAGTTATCATATTGAGACTACAAATGATTGGAAGATTGAAAATCTTCATGTTTCACAGTCATATGGGATAAAATAATATGTATGTGAGAAGTTACCCACCTCATTCTTCAACTTGTACTACATCACATGTCACAGTAAACTAGAAGTTTACTAATGCAAAAGCAGTCACAGTAAATCAGAAGTTTTACTGAGGCAAAAGTAGCTACACTAACCGGGAATTTACTGGGGCAAAAGTAGCCACAGTAAACTAGAAGTTTACTAATGCAAAGTTTATGCCATAGTAAACCAAAAGTTTACTAAGAGAAAACACATGTCATGATAAACTTGAAGTTTTCATCTATCATTTTTAAATGAGCTATTTGAGAATTCAGATAAGCATATACTGAAGAACTAGAAGATTCTTCAAGAATTCTCTTGTATTGCTTGTTCTCATTGATTATACCAGCTAAAGTTGGGACTAAGACCCCTGAATTCTGAAATATATAAAAGGTGAATATGGGTCTATTCACCTATCATGTGAACCACTTATAGATGCATATATGAGATGGTTACATGTGTGATTATTGTCAACCTGCAGTTTGACATTTGAAATTGCTTTTCTCAAATAAGAGCATAATTTTCAGATTATGAAATCAAGATAGTTCATTTTGATGACGTTGGATTATATCCAAGCTAATTTAGCATTGAATACCTCCTATTAATTGCTTATGAGAACAAAGTTTCATGTGTTGGTCTAAGATTTTTTTAAATTGCATACAACAACATTTGTATGCATCAGACCAACAATATATGATAAGTTATCCCCTTATAATTGGTTTAGGATCAGAAACCAATTTTTTTTACTATCTAGTAACTTTTGATGCGTAGTATATGATTAATTTCTCTGCCACAAAGCACAAAGATAGGTTTCCCAAAGAAAATTTGGGATATATGTTAGTTTTTCTAACATTAGGGGATGGAATAAGCAGTTGAAAAATATGTTATATGAATCAAATTATCATTAGTATGATCCTCACTCAGAAGATAATTCAAGTCAAATGCCAGAAGCACTTGCTGATCCAAAATTAAATATCATATTTTTGCTGCAAAAGCTCCTAGTAAAATTAAAGTCCCTGAATGATGGAGTTTACTGTACGTATGAAGCATGGTAGACCAATCGGTTCTAAAAGTAACAATCCTTAAAAAGAATAGGAGAAAATGATTAAAATGATCATAATAAGGAGGAAATAAGCTCTAGAAGAGCCCACGACATAACATTTCATGAAATTCTTGAAGAAGTTTAGATACCTGAAAATAAAGAAAGTGATGAGATCTCAACAAGTTATGTCGCTTGCGAACCGATATGAAATGATCGTCGACGATATATTTGGTACAATATAGTGCACAACATTATAAAAGATTGTGAGGATCGAACCAGCAGCCCAGATACTTGAAAATGTCATGCCATTTAAATGCAAGTCATAACCTATATGACTCATTTGATTAAATCTATATGAATATCCCTGAAGGTTTTAAAATGCATGAAGCATATAGTTCAAAGTCTCGATAAATGTACTCGATCAGATTACAAAAGTCATTGTATCGTTTAAAGTAATTAGGGCGCATGTGGTATAATCGCCTAAATGAATATT